CTGCCATGAACTGTTTCCCCTCTGCCATGTGCCACTCTGCCTTGGAGCCAGCTGAGTATGGACTGAAACCGCCACAAACTTTGAGCTAAATAAACTTTTCTCTCTTTAATTTGGACATCATGTATTTTGTCTCAGCAACAAGAGAAAAGTAACCAAGAAAATTACTTATCCAACTTTACTATCAGGACAAAATGTTTAAATTTCTGTATACACCTGATCTCTACACTCTGAATTTCCCAACACTAAGAAGTACAATATACAGAGTAAAATTAAGTCTGTCAGGACCTTACCTGCCAGACATGCTGAAATAGACTGTAGGGTTATAAAATGCCAACATTTAACCAAGGGGCAATATCTTAATACAAAGACACAAATTTAGTCTTTGTCAGGATGCTCACTTAAATAGTGCAATAAACTGAGCCAGATTAGAGCACAATTAAGTCATTTACAAGAGAGACTGCATGAAAGCCACATTTGCAGATGGCATCTTAGGATTCCTACTTCTTGATATCTATGTGTTTCTATGAGCCCTGCCATACTGCACAAGGCCACCCACGGAACTATAAGGAAATAACAGAAAAGACAGAGTGTGACTTCTGAGCCCAGTCATGAAGGATGCAGCAGCTTCTACCTTGCCCTCCCCTGGATCACTAATTCTGGAGGAAGCCCATTGCCATGTTATGAAAACATTCCAGCAATTTCCATGAAAGTGAACAGAGGTCATCTTCCAATAGCTAACACTAACACCAGCCTACCGGCTGTGTGGATGAGCTACCTAAAAAGCAGATCCTCCAGCCCAAGTGCAGCCATCGGATGGCCCACAGCAGGTGACATCTTGATTGCCACCTCATGAAAGACTGAGCTACAACAACCAAGCCACGGTTCTGGATTCCTGACTTGCAGAAACTGTTTAAGATAATAAATGTCTGGGGGCTTGAGCTGCCATGTTTGGTGTTAATTTGTTGATTAGCAGCAACTAACAAATAGAGGCATAGATACAAGGGAAAGAATATAGGCTGAGAGGTTGCCAAAGGTAAAATGTTCCAGTGGTAACTTTAAGTTATGTGCTCTTGGACCAGTTATTTGTACTGCCTTGTGTCTCGGTTTTGTCATCAGAAAATTTAGGACAGTAAATCTTTATCTCACAGCAGTCTGGAGAATAAAGGACACCAAAGAATTTAAAGAACTGTAAAGTGTTTTTTTCTTCAGTAAGTGTGTGTTTCCTTGTTTGCTTTGAATTATGCTTAATTTTGGAGTTTTGGTTTTTGAGCATCTCATGCTGCCTATTTCCAGGGCAAAGGAGTGGATTTTACAGGGTGCTGAAGAAATATAGGCACAGCTAGAGCAGCCTTTGTGTTTTGCATATGTATTTGAATGAAAATCTGGTTTCAAAATCTTGATTTAAGAGAAGTGGATATTTATAAACATTGCCTGAAAAATAAGTACAAAAGATGATGTAAACTGTGTTTGATTATTTATATAAGCCCCATGCATAAATGATCTCTGGAAAACATAACTCTAGAGCTTATAGCCCTTTAGCTCCATCCTGACAGCATCCCTGACAGGGTCTTGCTCCTAGATCAGGACTCGGAGGTCAAGAAGACAACTTTAAAAGACGTTATATCTATTTCTGCTATGTGTCCAACTGATGCCATTTTTCTGTGCTCTGAACTAAATAAATGGGACAGTTATTAGTTAGTGTTTGTATATGTAGCCTCTCATTTTGCAAATGTTGAATCAACCTGAAATCCCTTTACCTTTGGATTAAAAAGTGATCAACATATATGGTAAATGTTTCAAGTAAATATTGATTATGGTAAAAGACACACTGCCATTAATCCCCCTCGAAATGCATCCTCTTTCTTTGAGCAACTCAGCCTTTCATTCCTACCAGCTCCTGAAACACTTCTGGAAATCTTCTATGAACATCTTTACAAGATGTGATCAAAATACTGCCGACTGGCATCTCACAAAAAGACAGGTCCCTGAAAACATGAAGGTGTGACCTCGTCCACTTCACTCACTGGATGTGGCACCTTGTGACTCTTGGCTCGTCCCCAAAGTCATGACAACCATGAAAGATGAATGTACTGAACCATTTTAGAACATGGAGGTGGCCAAGACAGAACAGCTAAAGACCCTCAGGAAAGAGAACACTCAGAACTGCTTCAGACTATGGCAAGGATGGGGGATAAATGTGTTCCAAGCAAGGTAAGGATTCTGAGGGAGATCAATGTCAATGTGGCTTTTACTGTAACAACTTTTAAAAAATTTAAACATTCATCATAAATTTTGATACTTCATATCTATCATTAACATTTCAACTTATTTTTGATGGAACCTACCATGACCCAAAATAGGTTCCAGAATAAATAGGTTAGGCCCTGCATAAAGACTTGTAAAACTTCTTGTGTTTGAGTAGCTCTGCTACTAACTACATGAGCTTGAGCAAATTAGATATGCTTCACTTTGTTTTCCACAAGCAGAGGTCAGAATAAATATAGTACTATCTTACAGGTTTGTTATGAGAATAAAATGGGTTAATATTTGTTAACGACTTAGAGCACTACATGTCAAATAGCAATGGATAGCTTATCATTTTGATTGAGTGAAATAGCAACAATCTAGAAGCTCAGAATCCTTTCTCCTACTCTCTGCTTTGCTTTTCGATAGTTTTGGAGTAAATTATGTGTTCTAGTAGTATTTGAGACTTTGGATTTTTGCTGTAATATAACTCAAAAAAGTGATACATGTATACTTGATTCTTAACTGATAACACATTTGTGTTTCATAAGTGCATCTGATGATCACAGCTGCTAGATTTCTCCCTAAGTATGTGAACGTGTTGGACAGGACTTTGAATAGGGAGAATCAGTGTATTATTTCCTTGTTAAAAAGTGATTCTTATAATTCTTTGAAAATTTAATAAAAACTGTAGTCTTTCACCCAGGGCAAAAAATGAAGTCACTAAACTGTGTTTATGGGTACCAGTTGGTCTTTTGTTGTATTTGCAATAGGACAAGAAAGTGGATTGAGGGATATCGTAGCTTTTTTTTTTTTTTTTTTTTTTACAGCAGTGGTGAATTTAGAACAGGGAAGAAAACAATATGCAAGATATCAAGTTATTGGAAACAAGGTGGCCTTTATTTTTATTTTTATTTTTTTTTTTTGGTTTTTCTCCAGTACCGGGAACCGAACTCACGACCTTGCGCTTGCCAGGCAGGCGCTTTTGCCTCTGAGCTAAATCCCCAGCCCCCACAAGGTGGCCTTTAACAAAGGAACTTTCACTTGGACTGTAAGAAATAATTCTAAGCATTGGCTTTTAGGAAATGTGACAGATTACTGGAAAACACATTAAATAGTCTGTCGGTGTTATTTAAATTGTTTTATAGAGAACCAGGAAACTGGGGCCTGTCATTACGATGTCTCACTGAGGGCTCTGCGGGGCAGGTAGACTGAGGCTCCACGGAGTGACGCTTGCACCAGAGGAGCACTGTGTTCATTGATAGTGCTTATGGGCATCCAGTCAAGATTGTATTTGAACAGAAAGTTCTATTACTTTCAAATGATTGAGAAGCAATCTCCTAGATCCTTGTCACTGTAGATAAATCGCAGCAGACATTTTGATGCTGGATTATCAGAACTAGAGACAGCCTATCTTGGCAGACACGTTATCTTGTAAAGCAGAAAGAGGGAAGCCATGGGCCACTTAACCGAATTCTCAGGATGCAACAGTTTGGGGTCTTCCACAAAACTACAAGGAATCAGGTTTAGGATTAGTAAAAACATTAATTAATAAAAAGAGGTAAATTCGAACACCCAGAGATGAAGAGAGTTCACATAAAATATTTCCCAAAACCCGTAAGTAAAATCATAATCAGTTATTGAGAACCACTGAAAAAGTTTAGAGGCTAGCCTTTATTACTCAGTCTTACATCAAGCTTGGAGACTGTCTTCCACAAACATATCTTTAGAGTCCAACTTCAAAACCAGAGCCCCTGTTTGCATCACCACACCTCTGTCTACTCACTGTGGCAATGTGTGAGGTCTTGTGAAGTCTCACAGTTTTCTGTGCAGATGTTTAACTGCAAGTAACTAAGAGTCATGACCTGTGTAAGTAAAACCCATAATGGAATTGTCACTATTTTGTTTTTGTCCTAGATTTAACATGGTTCCGTCCAACATTTTCTTGACTATGACTCTTCTGACTTTGGAAATAAATACATATTTTATAGATTATATCCTCTCCACTTCATTGTACCTTGTAGTTAGCTCAAGGGCCCCTAAGCTTTTCTAGTGGCTTTACAAGAGAGTGAGTGAAGTGGTCTGAATGAGCCTACTGGCTGCAAGTAAAGAGAAAGGTGTCAAGCCCTGTCTTCTGCTGCTCAATAGCTCTTGCTACAACTTCTGAGCTTTCTCAAGGGCACAATCACACAGAGCTAAAGTGAGAGTAGTCCCAAATCCCCTTGGTTAGTTCTGTAACCATGTGTACGAGCTCCTCTACAGCCTGCTTCCTGATAGAATATCTAAAACACAGAGTCCTGTACAACAACATGTTAAACTGTCTTGTGGGAGAATAAGCCAGGTAACAGGGTCGGCACTTCACAAGGCAGCCAGGCGGAGACAGGAGTTCCGATTGCTATTGAAGGGCTCTTGTGGAAGTTATGCCCAAGCCCTTCAGAGGTTGGTTCACTTTCCAAGTAAGTGTTGTTGCCAGGAAGACCCCTGGTGTGCTGTGTCAGAAGGGAAGGAAAGAAATGAGCTGCACCAGCGGTGCGGGGTTTGGAGGCATCTCTGAGATCTTATAAACCAATGTGGATATTTCTTCTGGAGGTTATTAGCTGCGTGTCCCTCCCACATGGGCCCCTTCAGTTTTCCTGCTGGTAAGGAGGCTGCTGAGAATTGTTCAAGCCAGTTAAAGAAACTGCTTAAAGCAAGTGTTTGAAACACAAACATTAGCACCAGTGCTTGAAAGGCGGTAATAATCACAGAGTCCTTACTTCTTCTCTCCTTTGTACCATTCAAAGGCCGGAGGCGGCACACCTGCACCTTCGCATCTTATCAATCCACTGCGTCCGGGGGTCACAGTGCCAGATTTAATTTCCTGAATCGTAGGAGCAACTGAAAACAAAGAAACAACAACAACAATAAAAAATAGGTACATGTATATCTATAAAACCCTAGTGGGTAAGGCAAAGTAATCTTCCGCAGACATAGAACATACATATATTTTTATTTCTTCTATATTCCATGCAAGCTATGCCTGATAGGCGAATGCATCACATTTTCCATATTTTATGCTTCAAAGTATAAAATTAGTCATTTTCAGCTTTATTTTTCAACTTGGACAATGCAAGAATGCTCTCGGGGAGTACAGAGTAAACAAAATACATTTTGGCTTTGTTTCTTATTGGGAAAATGGCACGGTGCAGGGAGCACCTCCTCTGTACCACAGCCAATCTCCCACAATAGCTGTCATTCACTGAGAGGTCACTGGGACTCGTCACTGGGCTGGGGGCTCTATGTCCCTCATGTCCTTACAGTCACACTATAAGCTGGGCGGTATCATCCCCATTTATAAATGCAAAAACTGAAGTTCAGAGAGCTTAAGTAATTTTTCTAAGGTCACACAGTTGTTTCAGTTCCAGAATTGATATTTGAAGCTAGCCATGTTGAGTCAAACTGGGGATATTTCAATAGTATGTGTTTCTCCTTGTGCTTTATTAATTCAGTGGTCTTGCTATGTAATTCCTCTACCTAGATGCAGTTCGTCTCCATTTCCACAGATTCAATGCTTATTGTAACTGTTACTTACTCCATACTCTTCACTATGGCTCTAGCTGGAAATAGCGTTCTTTAAGTAGTTTATCTGCATTGCTTATGTCATATACTTTCTCTCTTGCACTGTCATTATTTATGAATATGCCAAGCTTCCTTGTCAGCCCCCTGATGGTAGGGCAAGCATCTGAGTCACCTTTGCACTTTCAGAGATCAGAGCACACAGAGTGATGGTTACAAAGCTTTTTTGTAGCGTAGCCAGTCCTTTATATGCCAAGTGCTTATTGAGCCATCAGTATGTGTCAGGCATTTCCTAAGCACAGAAAGGTCAAACTTTTGACATGCTAGAGCTTCCATTCTAAATGGGGTGAGGCATGGGGAGATAGACTACAAAGAGAAAATATAAGTGATAAGTAGCCTAAATCAAACGTTAGAAGGTGATAAAGAATATGGTAAGGCAAAAGCAACAAAAAGCCCTCACGCTGAAAAGTAAGAAGAATTTGTGCAAAGAATGGAATGCAATCATGTGTGGAGTGATGGGAGTAGGGCGCCCTGGGAAGGACAGGTTTCCTGAAGAGACCCGAAGTAGGTGTATGAGTGAGCTTTTCTGGTATGTAGAGAAAGCCTTCCTGGAAGAAAAGAAACGCAGCAAGGTCCCGAGACAGAGGCAGTGCTGGTTGGTTTGTGAAATAACCAAGAGAAAGAAGGGAACACAGTCAGTGTTAGGATTTCCAAGGAACTCGGGGGAGGGGAAGCAGGAAAGGGTTTTGAGGACCAAGCTAAGAAACTGGTGAACCACTACGGAAGAGGGATAAAATCCAACTCGTGTAGTCAAAGGATCACTTAGCTGCTGTGTTAAGGAAAGATCCCAGGGAGGTCAGGAGAGAAGAGGGGGGAGTCAGTAGGACACTGCTCAAGGACCCTGGCAGTGCTGGGGTCCATACAAGGTGGTAGCAGTGGAAGCGATGTGATTGGGTTTGACATCTATGGTAAAGTTGAACCCAGGAGGAATTTTTGACATACTGCAATGAGATTGGGATAGAGGGAGAAGTCCAGGTGACTGTATTTGGTTTAAGCAACTGGAAAGTTAGTGGGAATTTCCATTTACTGAGCTGGGAGGATTTGAAAGGTGAAGAATATTGGGTGGGAATAGTCAGAGTTGTATGTGTGTATTTTCTCATAAATATTCCCTTTTCTACAAAGCTCTTAACATCGTACATATGTAAATAACACCATGGGAGAACAACTGGAATCTTGAAGATGTAAATAGGAGTTCATTCAGAAATATGACCTGGATAACTCTATGCCCCTGATATATTGGAGGTTTATTGCAAAATATGTCATGATACAAAAACCATAAATAATCTTACGATGGAACATGTTCTTTCCTTTTAAAAAAATACCCTAGTAAATTCATCATTTTCAGTTAAGGGTGATATTTCATTTTGAAGTGATAGCAGTGTGGTATTTCTAAATGCTATTTTGAATAATAATGAAGATTTGATTTATAGTTCTAGAAAATTCACAATTGTTTTATGAAAACATTTGCTAATAAGTTGGTGAAAAATTGAATGTTTACCAAGAAAACATTTGAATGAGAAAATGGTAACAGATAAATACACACACATATATATGTACATACCCACTTATAGATGTATAAAAATATACAAAGACAATATAAGGACTCGTTTAGTATTTTTAACATTTTATTAAGCAAATAGCCATGCCCCACCCTACAGAAAGCTGTAAAATATACAAAAGTCATCTCTAAACAAACCCCAGTCATCTGTCAGTGATAGCACAGTTTTGCTAGAGGTACAGGTAAGACTGGATTTTCACAGTTGTTCTCACAGCCTTTCCTGTCTTCTCTCCCTGTCACACTCAGAGACTGTCATCTTTCTTGATATCCAACTATTATTGAAGATGAAATCACCATGTGCAACAGGAGCTACACTGCAAGCTCCTATTGATAACCTGGTTAGTTTAATTACTCTCTTGTTTGTCAAGGTGGCCATGACTTATTACAAACAAAAGCATGAAATCCGGAACATTGCCTGAAAGCCCAGGCGTAATGAACTGAAATAAAAATCTAATTCATCATTAAAAGGTTTGTATAAAGTAAAGCATGCATATAGCTTCACATTTGGAGCTTTACCACAGAAGTTAAGGGGAAATGACCCTGTAATCTGGGAGCCTGTGGGTGCCTCTGAGAGATGCTGTGTATGAAAAGAACCCTGCAAAAACACCAGGAAGCGTGGATAAGCAGTGAATCAATAATTAATAACAACATGTCTAAGAAAATGTCCTGAGAGCACTTTGTGGAGTGGAGACTGAAAGGGATACAGGCTACGGGATAATCAATGTAGAGAGGGGAGTCTCATGTAGATTTTATTTTGCGGCCAAAATTATAAGCATGAACAGAAAGTCACCATTGATTTTTCTTGGGGACATGAAAATTGATATGACTTATTCATAGCGCCGTGCAGCTTTGGAAAGGATTGAGGGAAAGAGGACTCATCCAGTCATTTATTCCTCATTTCTTCATTGGTTCAACAAATACTGGTATCAGAGACCACAGTAATGAAAAAAAAAAATATTCCTGGCCTAGTAGAGCTCTGATAGAGTGAGAAAACTTAGATCGAAATTAAGCAGGGCAAAGGAAATGGTAAAACAAGCATCCTATGCTGGGAAATCACTGAGCTCTGCACTCTTAAGGTAATAATTGAGTAGACAATTAGATGATGTGGGAGAAGGAGCCATGGGGCTATTTGTAGATTACAAAAGAGGAAACAGGAAGGGTATAGACCGTAAGTGGGGACTCTATCGAAGTGGAAACATGTGTAACAGGTTAGCATCCTGCTTCTGTTTAAAGTACATCAGAAATGGCCATCATGGCTTGAGCAGAGTAAGTGAGAAGAAAGATCCAGAAGAGATGTTGGAGTTGGAATGGAGGGGCCTGATTTTGAATCCATGGTGAAGACTTTGAATGCTTTTCTAAGAAGAGGATGAGGGATTTTGAGTGCAAGAATGATATTTGAGGAACATTCTATCAAGATTCTCTGGCTGTAATGTGGAACCTAGTTAACAGAGAGGCGGGGCAGGCAATAGGCTGGATTGTCAGGAGTCTGGTGCGGTAATTCTCAGTACGAGGAGACTGTCACTGCCTACTCCTTTGACAAGGCAGGAATTGAGGAAAAACATTAAATAGGTCATTGGTCACATTGGACCCAAGTCAAATTCTTTTAGTTAACTGGCAATGGCTGAACATTTTCATTGAAATTTCAAGTTTCATGCTAATATATGTGTAAATAAAAGGTTTTTAGGACTAACCCCTGAAATGTCCAATTTTACCCTAAACATTCTTTATGCAAGAGTCCTTAGAGATTATGCTGTTAACATACATTTTATGAATCTCTTCCTGGAGAGAGCCTTTGCAACCATGTGACCATAGAATTTCAGGTCTTATTTGAGCTTTTGGTAGGCTTGATATTTCTGGGGATGTATCCTCAGGATATTGGATTCCTGTACAATCAGATCGCTAAGATCTATGCCACATCTGAGGTTATGTAATGTATGACTTTCAAGAGGAACAGTCGTCACTAGTTACACAAGATTTCAAGTGCTCAGGATCTAGCTCGTACTTGCTAATTTCATGTAAGGAGAATGGTTCAGTTTTTGGCATCACAAGGATATAGCCCTTTATTTGCCTGGGATAGGTGTTCCTGATAATTACAACTAGGTAAATTTCCAGCTGGAACTGTAGCAGGGAAAATTATAAGTATACTTGGCCAAGTTGTCCAAAACAGGCTTTTCATACTAAAATATTCCATGTTTTAGGAAAATCATAAATGTTGGAAAAATGAGTGAGTGATAAACCCTGAGATATTTTTCCCAGAACCTGTTTCTTTCATGATTTCACTACTACGGCAACTTTGTGTCTCTTGACCCTGCGTTAGCACTGCATGTCTGGTTTCCTGAGAGTAGGAGTATATATGGATGCTTCTTGGCATGTTTATGTTTCAGGAACTGTTTTTCTGTTGCCTTGGAGGTAGATTTTGTTCTTCTCAGATGTAATCTTTTAAGGAGCTCAAAGTAGTAAAGAAAATAAGCGTCTGAGCTGCTCACATTCACAAGTACAATGGCATCCTTTGGAATAGTCTGGAACGCACGACCGACATCTAAACACTTCAGCCATGTGCCAAGTTGCACATGACTGTGAGCTGAAACAATTGCACAGTGAACAAAATCAGTTTCAGAGCAATGTCATTAGACATGTGTAGGTGAGAGTGAAGAACAGATGTCGGGAGAAGCTAGCGTAAGGGTCAAATGGGTTTTCAACACCT